AAAAAAAAAACAGAGAAAGTGAAGAAGAAGAAGAGTGAAGGAAGGGGAAGTAAGCGGCGAGGGTGACGAAGGTGATGGTGCCGGCAGCCATAGCTGAGGTGAAGGGTTGACCGGGCGTTGACCAGAGCGTTGACCAGAGGGCTGACCAAGGGTTGACCAGGCGTTGACCGAGGGTGTTGACCAAGCGTTGACTGGGGGGTTGCTCGCGTTGACTCAGCGTTGACCAAGGCGTTGACCGGAGCTGCTGACCAAGATTTTGACCAAGCTGGAGCTGGTGATATCTCGCTGAGCCCTTAGCCTATCCCCTTACCCTGTGGATGTGCACTCCCCCTACGGTACTTGCTGAGTTTGAGTCTGTCTGTCTCTCCTTTCTGCATAGAGTCTTTTTTGTCCTAGCTGTTAGGACTCTGTGGATGAAGGATAGGGCCTTGCTGCCAAACCTGCACGGGACTTAGTAGGACTAATCTCTACTCTGGCATCTGGAGACCTGGGCATGAGCGGCGAGCGCTCGTTAAACAACTCGTCTAGCCCAATGACCGGTACTGTTCGGCAGGTCTACTGAGTTCAGTGTAGAGGGTCCGAACTCCGAGCTGTAGGCTGAAACGAAGGTCGTGTTTAAGTGTTGAGGCCTGGTTGAACCACTCCCCTACCGGACCTAGTAAGGCTGATGATCTGTGTCTGACGACTCGACTGTCCCGAGGGATACGAACCCCTCCAAGGACCGGTACAGACCGGCGGGCTTCTCGGTGTGGYACAGTAGGCCGGAACGACTGAGTTGTGGGCTGAAATCGCCAGGAAGAACTACGCTGATCACGTCATCCTGACTGCGACGTTAAAGAATTCTTGCGGAGTTTGGGGGATCTCCTTAAATGCCTCCTGATTAGTTGTTAGTTCAGTAGTGACAGCCTTAGAGTAGTTGTGAGTAGTGAATCTTAGAGAGTCAGACAGTAGGTTAGTGTGTCCGGGTAGGTCTAAGTGGTGAGGAGTGGGACATTGTCGTGCACCTCACACCACGATGGACGACTATCCGATGTATGGGTTGCTCGTTGGGTTCTCCCTCTGGGGGACCCTCTGGCGTCTCCTCTTTCCTCAAGGGTTCTGGCACACCTTCACGGGTAGAGTATATACCCGGGGTGGTGCCTCCACCAAGCCATACACAAAGGAGGAGGAGGAGAAGCCATCTTGCACGAGAGGAAGGAGAAGAAGGAGGCCAAGAAGAAGGCCTTGAAGGAGGAGCAGGCGGCCAAATTGAAGAAGATGGAAGAAGAGAAGGCCAGAGAGAAGGAGAGGATACAGAAAGAAGAGGAAGCGAAGTTGAAAGAGGTGGAAGAGGAGGAAGAAGATGAAACGCCGCTGCAGAGGAAGAAGGGGCAGTACAGTGGCAGTAGGGATGAGGAGATGGAGAAGCGGATCTCAGAGTGGGTCGCCAACTTATCCCTGGGCGAAGAAGAAGAAGTGGCGATGTATATCTCTAAGGACGATCAGGAAGCCGCTATGAGAGCTTGGGAAGCAGAAAAATATGTTGTGAAGCGGCAGGCAATGGAAGATGAGAAGAGAAGGGAATGGAAGTTGGCAGTGATGAGGGAGAAGAAGAGGAGAGTGGACGCGGCAGCGGAGGCGGCAAAAGAATTAGAGGAGGTAAAAAGGATAGAAGAGCAACTGGCCGCCCAAACTGAACTCCCAGCCCAAATGCGAGTCATAGCTCAAAATGTTGCACGCCTGACACGAATTCAGGCGGAACAATATGACTTTAGTAGGAGTCAGCATATAGCTGTGCGTTCAATAAAGCTGGGGTTCCGGGACTTTGCGCGCGAGCTGGTAGGCGCTATAGGAACCGAGGTGGGCCACCGCCTCGACAAGACTGAGCGGTTCTGTGTCGGCGCCACTGAGGGCATTAAAGCGGCAGCCCCCAAGGAGGAGGAAGCACGTCCTCCTCACCGGGAACCGGTCAAGGTCAAATTCCCTGATTCCTACAGTGGGAAAATGGAAGAGAACTTTGATAACTGGGAAGCCAACGTTAAGACCTATGTGCACTTGCAACAGGTCTCCTCGGATCAGCAGGTTCTAATTGTGATCCACGCGCTGAGAGATGAGGCCGCCAGTTTTGCAAGATCCCTAGTTTGCGCTGACAACTGTAGTGACGATCCCGTTGCGTACTCCTCGTTCACGTCCCTCACCGAATTCCTGAAGTTGTTGCGCGAGAGATTCGCTGATGTCGCCCGCAGCGTTAAAGCCTCAGATAGGCTGCAGACAATCCACTCTTGTAAGTGGAAAAGTGCTAGGGCCCTTAAGAGTACAATGGATGAGTTAGTGGCTGTCCCTGACCACGGGGTTAACGGACACCTAGTTGGTCGGCCTCTTCTATTGGGCTATACCCGAAGCCCTTCGAGGGCATTTCTTCGCAAAGAGCGAAGACCCTGCCACTACGTACGATTCTCTTAGTCGTGAGGTGGTGGCCTTTGAGGCCAAGTCTATGTCAGTTTCCACCTTCTGGCACAACGATTTGGATAAGGGAAAGCAATGGAAGAGCCACACTATTTCTGGGCAGGTAAAGACCAAGGACAACCTTGTCCTGACCTTAGATGAGGGTAGTGTAGATGAGATCCCCTACAAACAGATCGAGTGGGGGTTAGAGGAAGAGGACAACGGTGTGGGCCAGGGGAGGACTTGCGCTGCTGTCGCGGCTGGAGGGAGGCCACAACGAGGACGAGGCCAGGGCCAAGTGGGCCGGGCCTCAGGGAGCCGGTTTCAGGGCGATCAGGGGGTTGGCGGTAGAGGAGGAAACCGCCAAGCGGGAGGCATGGGTCAAGGTCCCCCGCAAAACCGTCCTAGGAATAGGTCTCCCTATAGGGTAGGAGGATGGCACCCGGGGCTACCACAGGGTAGGCCTTGGGAAACTCTGGGTCTGGACCAGACTTTATGGCAACAACGATTGGACCGGGGCCAGTGCATTTTYTGCGGTGACCCGGGCCATATCATTAAATACTGTCCTAAGTATCGCGAGACCCGAACGGCTGCCCAAGGGCCAAAAGGCAGCCGCCGGTAGGGGTAGCAACTGCCCCTACCATTAGGCCATGTGGGGAACATAGCGCTAGCTGGCAGGAGACTCCCACACCACATGTGCCTATGGCTGAGGTTGCAGGCCGGTGTCTAGATAGCTGCCCAGAGACTGCTTGTATTAGGGTCTCTCTAGACACCTTCCTCACAGGCGTAGCCGAAGAGTTGAAGGAGAGGAGGCCCACTTGGGCCAAGATGAAGAAGGAGAATAAAGGGCAGCTGATCTTACTAGATACAGGGATTTTTAGAAGTAGAGTAGGGGCCCTAGTAGACTCAGGGGCCACCCGCAACTATATTAACAAGAAAACGCTGCAGAAGTTGAGGCTGGGAAGTCCAAAAATTGACAGACCCCATAGTTAGTATCCTCGCAGACAATCGTACTATGGTTATAGAGGAGTATGTAGAGGGAGTCCAGGCGTATTGTCGCCTAGAGAAGGATGAGAGAGTGGAGAAGGTCCTCCACTCCCTGACTCGCCTCGTAGAAGACAGCCTCCCATTTGATATTGTYCTGGGAATGGATTGGGGAGAGGCAGCCGGGGCCACACTCCATTTGAAGGAGCATGAGTGTAGGCTCCCTAGCTCTTCAGGCGAGGCTAAGACTGCCCGCCTGTTCCATGTGTCAGGAGTAGAGAATCCCTTGGCACATTGCTGCCTTAGTGCACCTGCATTCGCTAGATTAGTGAAGAAGGAGAAACTGGAGGAACAGGTTTTCGTCGCCTATGTTAGGCCGGTGTCTGAGCCTACGGAAGAAAACTCGATGGACCCTGCGATTGCCAAGCTGCTGGAAGAGTTCAAGGATCTAACAGAGCCGCCGATAGGAGTAGTACCGCGGCCCATCCAGCACCGCATTGAGGTAGAGCCTGGCAGTAGAACTCCTAAGGGTGCTGTGTATAGGATGTCCCCACGGGAGTTAGAGGAGCTTCGCAAGCAATTAGACGAGCTCCTCGAGAAGGGTTGGATTAGGCCCAGTTCGTCTCCTTTTGGAGCGCCTGTTCTCTTTGTTCCTAAGAAAGAGGGAGAGCTAAGGATGTGCATAGACTATAGGGGTCTGAATGCTATTACAGTAAAGAATGTTGAGCCACTGCCTAGGATAGACGATCTCTTAGATCGAGTGCAGGGGGCGAAGTATTTTTCCAAGATAGATTTGAAGGATATCATCAGATAGAAGTGCATCCTGATGATCAGTATAAGACAGCCTTCCGGACAAGATATGGGCACTACAAGTTCATAGTAATGCCCTTTGGACTAACCAATGCGCCAGCTACATTCCAGCGCTGTATGAACGATTTGTTTAGGCCGTGGTTAGACAGATTTGTTGTAGTTTACCTAGATGATATTCTAGTGTTTAGCAGGACCCTCGAAGAGCATCAGGGTCATCTCAGGCAGGTCTTGGAGAAGCTGAGGGAAGCTAACTTCAAGATCAATGCAAAGAAGTGCGATTGGGCGAAAACCCAAGTTTTGTACTTAGGCCACGTCTTAGACGGAGACGGCGTTAAGCCAGAGGATAGCAAGATCGCAGCGATTAGAGATTGGCCCACGCCACGTACGCTGACAGAGTTGCACTCGTTCCTGGGCTTAGCTAATTACCACCGGAAGTTCGTGAGGAACTTCTCTACCATCGCTGCCTCTTCGCAGATTGTTGAGAAAGGAGACCATCTGGAAGTGGGATAAGGACTGCACGTCTGCCATGAAGAAGTTAAAGCAGGCATTGATAGAGTATCCAGTCCTTAAAGTCGTCGATCCGTCCTTGCCCTTTGTCGTCACGACCGATGCGAGTCAATACGGCATAGGCGCAGTGTTACAGCAAGGCGATGGCAATGGGTATAGACCCGTAGAGTTCATGTCCGCCAGAATGCCTTCAGAGAAGGTCGCGACATCTACCTATGAGAGGGAACTCTACGCTCTCAGGCAAGCCTTAGACCACTGGAAGCACTACTTGCTTGGGAGGCACTTCAAAGTCTATTCCGACCATGAAACGTTACGATGGTTAAAGACGCAGGCCAAGATGACACCTAAGCTTACTAGGTGGGCCTCAGAGATAGATCAGTACGACTTCGAGCTCAAGTCTGTCAAAGGGAAGTACAACGTAGTCGCGGATGCTCTGAGTAGAAAAGCTGATTACTTTGGGGCAACAGTACATTACCTCGATATAGGGAAGGATCTGCAGCAGAAGGTTAGAGAAGCCTATGAGCAGGACCCTATTTACAGTGACCTCCTCAAGAAGGTCAAGGAGGCCCCAGAGATTGAACCGAACTACCGCACTATTGAGGGGTTGCTTTTAATCTGATGCGCGCGTATACCTGGCCTGGGATGAAGAATGACTGCGTACCGTATGTTCGCAATTGTAAGGTTTGCCAGCGCAACAAGAGTTCTACGCGCGCCCCGCTAGGTCTTCTTAGACCCTTGCCCATTTCGGATCAGCCAGGAGACTCAGTGTCCGTAGACTTCATGGACACTCAAGTCAAGAGTAGGCATGGCAAGAGCCAAGTCATGGTCATAGTTGACCGTTTTAGTAAGTACGCAATTTTTGTTCCTTTGCCTTCAGAGGCACGTACTGATTTAGTCATACAAAGATTTTTTGACTGTTGGGTGAGTGAGAAT